CTTTATTTCATATGTCATATAATAAATTAAAGTTTCATTTATTTTTAATTTTTTTCGTCGCGCTGCTGATGACGTCACGTACGCGCTTTGATCGGGCGCGCTTTAGTGGACCGTGGTTTTGACGGGTCACGAGACTTGAGTACCCCCACTGCACATTTCGTTCCATTTAGACACAGTTCCATTAAGGACTATATGTTGAGTACAGTTGGTCAGCCACTTACAAATACATCTAACCCACATTTTTCTATCTTGTAAAGTAATAGGCTGTTGTCTGCTTTATCAAATGCCTTGAAGCCAACATGACCAATGGTTGCTGGGAATTGCAGTTCAGCAATACTAGCAGGATCATATGTTTCTCATACCTTGATAGAATGAAAACAGCATTCAAAGGAATTGGAGCATCCTAATTATCTAACTCATTTAAAAATATTTGAACATCCCTGATGTCAACTCCCTGGTGTTTGCAGTTGTTGTGGAATCTACAGGACATACAGTATATCACCTTTGATCAGATTCTTTCAAAGAGAATTCTACTTCGAGAGTATAATTATATTAAATTTCTCTTTGACCGTTGCAACATAAAAATGAAGCTTTGGTTGACTTGAATAAGTGGCTTATTCTTAACTTTTTGCTAATGTACAGGTAAGAAATGTAGGATTCAGCATAATTTCCATCCTTACCGAATGTCCTCTTTCACCGTTTTTTCCAGGTGGACCAGCATTCCCTGGGGGACCCATATGACCTGGAGATCCAGGCACACCAGGAGGACCATTTTCACCACGATCACCCTGAAATGAAAAGAAAATGAAACTTTAATTTATTATATGACATATGAAATAAAGATATGCAAGAGTGTGCCAAGATTCAGCAGAAACAATCACAACCAAATGATAATATTGTTGAATCTCACCTTTGGCCCTGCAGAGCCATCACGGCCTGGGAGACCATCTGTTCCAGGATTACCCTTACAAATACAAAATAATAAGTATTTAGATTTTTTTGGGTGGGAGTAGGGAGACAGGAAGGAAAAAAACCCCAAAATTTTAAACAAGCTACTCAGGAGTACATTTTCTTCGCACAATATCTCTCTTATAGTTAGCGGTATTGGAAAGAGCTTGTCAATCATGTGGTCATTGCATTTATAAGACTGCTGGTTCACATACATTCTTCTAGTTTAAATCAGCATCAAGTGATGAATGTACGTATATATAAAAGGTCAGATATATTGTAAGTAGAATATTCATACTAACTCACTAAACATTTTTCAAGAGAATCATTTACACATAATCAGCTTAGTAATGGACCATCTTGATCAGTGCATATCTTCACCGGGAAAAGACCTATCAGCTTTCTCAAACTTTTTGCAGATTTCATCCCCAAATCATGTGGGATTTTGGTTTTATGTACGATTATCAAGATTATGGAAATTAAGTGGTGCAGTCCCTTGTATAAGCCAGTTTTCACTTTCACAGTATGTTAAATTGATTAGATTACATGTCTGAACAAGATATATGCATGGGTTCCCTTTTTCTCATTTTGGGATTTACATCATTTAACCATTCTATTTACATCAAGCATCTATCATAGGAATATAACTAAAAAAAAATATGATTACATCTCTGCCTGGTTCTCCTGGTGCCCCACTGATGCCAGGAGGACCTCCTTGCCCTGGAGGTCCTCGTTCCCCTGGGCTTCCATTACTTCCTGGTTTGCCATCTTCACCCTACATTGGAATAAGAAAGAAATTGACCATGAGTTGAAATGTTTAGATTTTGTAAAATTCATGCTAACTTTTAAAAAAGCAGAGAACATAAATAGTAAACACAAAAAATATATGCCTACAGATATATTGTTCAAAATGTTTCTTTGTTCAGCCTATCATGGAAAATAAAAGATCCACAAAGCGATACAAAATGTAGCTCTTGAAATTCCATTAATCCCCCAAATTATTGATATTTTCCTACTCACAAACTCAGATGACAACTTTTAATAAATACTCAGATCTTTGCCTAAATATATATATCATCCTATCTATTGTTATTGACTCTTTTTTTTAATATAATCAAGATAGAATGTAATTTGCATTTGCCCTGATCTTGTGATAAATGGGTGAGAAGGTATCATAAATCTAAGAGAAAAATAACTATGGCAGGTGATATTCTGGCTAATTTACTAGGCATACCAAAAACTCAATTCCTATCATGTGAAGTATTAGTATCACTTTATAAATCCTTAGTAATGACATTACAAAAATATTTTAGTATATTAATTTATTATATGACTTCTTTTATTAGTTTTGTTGTTTTTATACGGGGTTTTATATTCTGTAGGCTACCTTGAGTCGCAATATGCAAATAGACAGCAATATAAATCCCCTAAATAAATAAAGACATTAAAAATGTTGACTTTGGAAAAAGCAGAAAGAAGAGCAGCTAAGATGATTAAGGGTTTGGAGACCAAAGCATATGAAGAACAGTTGCAGGAATTGGGTATGGCCAGTCTAGAGAAAAGAAGGACTAGGAGTCAGATGATAGCAGTATTCAATATTTGTGGGTCTGCCACAAAGAAGAGGGAGGTCATCTTTTTTTCCCAAAGCACCAGAAGGCAAGACATGAAACTATGGGTGGAAACTAATTAAGGAGAGAAGCAACCTGTAATGAAGGAGAAACTTCCTAACAGTAAGGACAATTAACCAGTGGAGCAGCTTGACTTCAGAAGTTGTGGATGCTTCATCACTGGGGGTTTTAAAAAAAAGACTGGACAGCCAACTATTTGAAAGAGTATAGGATGTCCTGCTTGAGCAGGGGGTTGGACTAGAAGATCTCCAAGGTCCTTTCCAGCTCTGTTCTGATTGATCAGTAGGCAACCCTGTCTTAGGTTAATTATACAAGGAAGCAAACTGGGGACAGAAAGGGTTTTCTGGAGCTTTAACAACTACCGGTGGTCGAACATTAATTGATATTAATTTGGGGGCACAACAGTATTAATGCATGAATGAATGTTAATGTAGGAGACCTTGTCTAGTTTAGAAAGATGATGTCAGGAGATTATTTTCCCCCTTGGAAAGCAACATTTGTATTTTTCCTCTGATATAACGATGGAAGCAAAATTAGCAAATTATTTTAATTAGCATAATTAAAAAATATTTCCCCAATTTTCTCCCCCTCTCACACGCACAAAGCAGTTCAAGTCCCAAACCAAACAATCTCTACTTTCAGATCAATCCTTCTTCCATGAAATCTTTGGGATGATGATTTACCTTGACACCAGGTGGACCAGAATTCCCTGGTAGGCCCCTTCCTCCTGGCAATCCTACAATACCACGCTGTCCAGGTACGCCACTAATTCCTGATGGACCTGGTGGACCCTAGGGGAGATCAATCAAGAGCATGATTAACTAAATATCAATGGAGTTAGAGATATAAGGAAAAGAGTATGCTTGAACGAAGGTGGAGGTTTACATTTTAGAAGATATATCAATATATCCATATGGATATGTATAGTTATTGTATTATTATTAAGTATTTTTCCATATATTAAATAAACAAACTGAAAGGAAAAAAAGAAAGAAAGAGAAAAATAAAACAAAACAAAAAAGAGCAAGAAACAACAAAGAATAGGGAAAGAAACAGAAATCAAGAAAAATATGTTATTTCCAACCTTCTTTTCAACAGGTAAGGTATTTCCTCTTAGATGTTATACAAACCCTTATCACTCAAATTACATTTGGCTGGTATTCTGACAATGTGCTCGAGATAATTTGAGTATAAATGATTCCATCCTTTCTTTATTTAGACTTATTTCAGGTGGTGTCATTCTTATAAATGGGATCTGAATAGAGTTAGGAATATTAGAGACAAATAAAGATGAATAAGTCTCTTTTTATAGTAGACCCATGAAGCTTCTCTGTGCCATATCAAGGCATGGGTCCAACCCATCTCCTGCAGCTTTCTGAGGTGATCCACCATCCAGAAAATTAAGACATTTAACAGCACTGAAGCATGGCAACCTGATTCTCCTGGTGGAGCAGGGATATGTGCAGAAGTCCCTTTCAGCAATAGGACTGAAATGGGATGGCTGCTTTCACCTAGCCCTTGAAAAGTGGGATTTGATATGGCCTTTGACTTCAAGGGGGTGTTTTAGTCCGAGACTTGTGAAGCTGAACAATTCTTTCAAATTTCTAAATAATTTACCAGGACTGTATTACTATTCTTCTTCTCTTCCTTACTAGTATCTATCTCTTCCAACTTATTACTCTAACTATGTTGCTTGTATCTTTCAATTTATATTGCTTTTAATTGTTTCCCAAATAAGATTTGATAGCTTATTAGTAACCTTGACTATCACTAATCGTTGTATCTTTTTATTCTTAATGAATGTATTTTATTCTCTTTATGTACACTGAGGACATATACACCAAAGACAAATTCCTTGTGTGTCCAATCACACTTGGCCAATAAAGTATTCTATTCTATTCTATTCTATTCTATTCTATTCTATTCTATTCNTTAATAAACTGTTGTGTCCTGCAAAATTCCCCTCCTATCACCCCACCTATAAGCTCTCCAGGAGGGGCCAATCAGTAGCCACCTGTTCCTATTTCCTTCTGTGAGCCTTTTTCCAAAGCTGCTCCCTCCTCCTCTCAGCCCTACGCATACGTACATCAGGCACAACCTCCCTCTGTTCTTCCTCACTGCTCCCTGACTCAGATGCCACCTGGTGGCCAACAGGCCTTTCTAGTCCCTGCTCTGAGTCCGAACACCCCCCAGAGTCTTCCTCAGCTTCCAGGGCAGTCCCATAGTGTTCATCGCTGTCAGATTACACCAACAGCTCAGCCAGCCACTGTTGAGCCACAACAGAGGTACACTGTAAATGGCATTTAATTTCATTGTACAAGGTGCATTGACAATAAACTAAACTAAACTATACTCATTACAAAGTTTGATAATCACCATCAATCTAAACTATGTGTTTTAAAAAGCAGATGAGGGTAAGTAAATAGAACCTTCAACTGAATAGAAAAATCAGTATATGATCTAAAAAAAACAACAATAGAATAAGTTTCATAGAAACATTACTGTTGGATACAAATTCTGGATTAGAAATTAATGGGACTAAGAAACCAGTCAGCAACCTCTGATGTTTATAGTACAAGTTGAACTGCTCATTTAAAAATCTTTTAACTATTTTGACTTCACAAATGCTAAAGTTGTTGAATTGAACCCCAAAACTCTTTCTTAAGTTATAGAGCATTTATGGGTCAGAATATTGCATTTGCACTGATTTTTTCTTCTATACACAGTTTCCAAGGATTTGGAGTTAATCAGAAAGAGCTTTTATTTTTACACTTATGGAAAATAAATATTGTTCTCCTGAAGATGGTCCACAAAACTTAAACTAATAATTTCTCCTGAAATAGTAGCATCAGATACTATCTCTCTGCAATTGTGAAGACTTCCAGAATGGCTGGCTTTCTCTAGCTCCAGATTCAGAGAAAGAATTGGGCAAACCAGATCCCTACCTGAATAGTGATCTATCTCCACTACCTAATGGTTTCCCCAAAGTTTTTCAAAAAGCAACTGGACTTTGTTTTTCTTTGATGGTATTTCACTTCTCATCCAAGAAGATTATTCAGGTCTTCAGAAGTGAAATGTCTTCAAGGAAAAGCAAAGTCCAGTTGCCTTTTGAAAAAGGATGTTTGGGACAACTATGACCTGGATGACTGTTGACATAATCCTTTCCCTTCTCTTTGGGTCACCATTTACTTGGGAAGAAAACCCCAGGTGAGTGAAGGAAGCTGTGTCCTTCACTGGATGTCTCTCCATCCACAACTGAAAAAAGGCAGGAGAGCAAGCAGTAATGGTCCAAAGAAGAAGGACCAATTGTGCTGGAAGAATTTTCACACTGGGAATGACTTAAATGGACATGCTCTTCTGTAGGTATCAGTGATGCCTACTCCTAAAGCATGACTTTAAGATGAAAATAGACAATAAGGAAAGAGATGCAGCCATTTTAAAATACAGGGGTGCTATTCTCATAGTGACATGTCATCGTAAGATGGCTTCTTCTAGTCCTAATTTTTTCCCCTCTTTCTTAGGGAAGTCAACAAAAGCTACCAAACTTACCACTGGACCAGGCAAACCTGGATTGCCAGGAAGTCCTCGGTGACCCTTCATTCCATTCATACCCCGTTCTCCAGCTTCACCTTTATCACCACGTCCTCCAGCAGGTCCCTTTAAAAAAAAATCAGAGGGAGGATCAGTTTTAAAAATGCTTCTTAGATGAAAGAGAACTAGCTGAAGCAGGCAATGAGATCTTATTCTGAAGCCAGGACTTACAGGAGCACCACGAGCACCAGCTGGGCCAGCTGGGCCAGCAGGACCAGCAGGACCCTATATGGGAACAAAAATAAATGGAAATTAAGATTGCATGCATCATTCCATACCAATAGATACATTATGACACAATAAAATGAGTAATTGTCGATAGGACCCCTAACATACCACTGCATATAATATACAATTATTACCTGAGAGTTGCCTTCCATAATAATTGAAATCCCTTACCTTTTCACAAAAGCCCTTGACTTTTCTGACTGGAAATGGTTTAAGTCAGTGTTTCTCAACCTTGGCAACTTGAAGATGTTTGGACTTCAACTCCCAGAATTCCCCAGCCATGCTTTTCTGGTCTGGGCAATTCTGGGCTGTTGTATCTATTATATTTTATTATCTCAAGGTCGGCAACTAGTTTTGCT